GCTTTGTACCGCTCCAGACAGCGGCCGATGGAGTCTTCCTCCTCCTCTGTATCTGAATCTGAAGAACCCAGGAGGAAGATGGACATCTTGCTCTTCTTTGGTGACGGTTCCTCTTTTATCTGGACAGATGGTTGTTGTGCTTGTGTCTCTGCCATCAGAAGGTCGTGTACCAGAGTCCACACCTCTCTTCTTTCATCTTTGGGAAGACACTTGAGGTCTTTAAACCTGGGATCAAGGGCAGTAGCGATCTTCAGCCATGTGAGATTGCTGCTGGCCCTCCGCTGAGCTAGGTCTGTGGTAAAAACCATCTTAAACTTCACAACGTAGACTGGGTCATCCTCCAAGGGCTCCATGACCCAGAACAAATGACGCAAGGCTGGCAGCACCATGGAACAGCAGACATAGCGCTCTCCCCCCAGCAGTTCGGTCACATACCTGCAATAGAAAGAACAAGTGTTTTCTACTAATCGCACAGAGACAAACACAAATACCACAATATGTCAGTAAGTGATACCAAGGCTCGCAAAATCGCTAGCCCGACGTCCCGGGGCTAGCAATTTTTCCAGTCGGGCTACCAAAATCTATCTCTGCCCTGCCCGTCGGGCTGTCATAGGAAGGAAAATATATGTCAATGCTTTTGGAAATGTAGCTGGGTAATTATGTCATTGGCATCGGTGAGCCACTGTCAATATGTGACATATTGAAATCGCGTTTGAATTTGCGCTTGTTTTTTTACTTTCACTTTCATTTTGCGATCGCGGAAAGGTGTGTAGAGAGCGGCAGCACTGATTGGTGAGTGACGATTACTTGCGCACCAATTCCTCTGACATCGTCTTATCAATCATTAGCTACTATTCAAACGTGACAAGTGAAATCTCAAAATTTAGCAGTCTTTGCAAACTTCAAAAAGCAAATGGCCTCGATCTTGGTTCCACCTCTTACCCGTGACTTCAGTGGAAATGTCAGATTCAGGATCTGACACAGACTGATTCATGTTCTACACAGTTCTTACAAGTTCATAGAAATTTCTGTTCAATTAGAACCAAGTATTTGAGTTGATGGTTGTAATTTCTAGACAGTTGTTGTGATTTGTATTTTAACGATTTTTTGATTAATTTTTGTTTCCGTTACAATATTATAATTTAAAGTAGAATAAAGGAAACAAAACATAAAAAAATTGCTTCCTTTTTTATTTGGGCTACTTAAATTTATTTTGGGCTACCAAAAACTGAAGAATGCCTGCCCGAAGGGCTACCAGAGATTTTGAAATTTTGCGAGCCTTGGGTACTCTAATTGAAAAGTGAAGTATTGCAGTTATCTCACTCACTGTTAGTACTGTGTGCTGTGGGTTGGAAAATAGAAGCAAGAGCTGGGGTGGGAGGGGAGAGAGGTTCACCCTGCAAAGGTTTCCCGTGTGTTGTAGGGCTAACACAGAGACAGAAAACCTTTAAAACCCCGTCTATAATCACCTATTAATATCACATTAATCGTGCCAATCAGCATCATTTCATTAAGATCACGAGCATATATTTGAATTGTGGGAGAAAATACAAACTGCACAGAATCCCAACCAGGAAGTTTGAATCCCGAACCTTCATTCAGTGAGGACACAGCTCTAACCACTGCACCACCCTGATCTCAGCCCAAACACTACAGAGGCAACTATGCTAAAACACAATCGCACTGAGACAAACACAAATAACACACAGGAGTGTTCTTGAAGACACACAAACGAGAAACAGGATGAGTTACCTGCAAGGTTCTAGTAGTTCCTCCAGCTTCTGCAGTCTGTCAAGCTCCTGGTCAGTCAGCATGGTCACCGTGCTGTTTTCAGTCAGGATGGAGGTGAGCACAGATTTGTTTCTCTGGATCTGCTTGATCATCTCCAGGGTGGAGTTCCATCTTGTCTGAGCATCCTGAACAAGTGCTTCCGTGTTGTGTCCATGTGCAGCTTGCTGTGCATTTAATTCCTGAGCGTTCGCTGGACTTTCCTCAAAGTGTCCAACAATCTCGCGACATTTGGCCAGAA